AGGTATAAATACTCCTCATAAAAGGTAAGATGGGGATGCAACAAAAAACCTTGATCAAGTGCTAGTGGGTACTTCCTCCATATGAAGTGTTCACTTATATGGCAGGGGGGGAGACGACTCCTACCCGATGTGAGATGGAGGTAAAGCCTACTGTATTGCCTTAGGAAAGGGTGTAAGCCAACCAGAATCCTTGGTGTTCAAGAATGAAATCCGAACGCGTGATTTCTACCCCTAACAGAAACCATAAAGTTGGTATAATTGTTAGATAAAGAAGCAGCTTCATCTAACATAATTTTTTAAAACTAGATTTAGTATTTAAACTCAAAGATAATTTAATAACTATAATAAGTTAAATTATTGATTAAAATTTTAAGTCAGATAACTATGACATTACCCTTTAAATTCAGTTGTAAAAGCCTATAAAACCCAAGAGAGAGAAAAAGGGTGCATCGCGGAATCGTGGTCTTAGAATCCATGAGTGGAGAACGAAGAGTTTCGAGACGAATGAAACTGGAAGCTATCAGGTCCAGCTACAATCTTATCAACACCCTCATCATCACACGGCCCATACCATCACAAAACGAAATATCAAACCGTTTCCCCTCTCTTTTTCGTGAGATTTTTTATTTTTTGAGCAATGCTAGGCTCTCTTTTTCGTGAAATTTCTTTATTTTTTTGAACAATGTTAGATGAATTTAAAATATTAACTTGATTAATCACTGTCATTAATTTAATTGTGAATTTCATAATTTATCGAGACCTATTATATTTTTAATAATTTTAATTAATTAAATCAGAAAATTAAATTAATATTTTAAAACGTTTGGATCTTCTGTTATTAATTTTTAGCGATTGAGGTCTTGTGAATTGAAACATCTTTTTACTTACCAAAATTACATCGTCTTATTTAACAAAACAAAGTCGCCGTTTTGACCATCAAGTGTGCAAACAAAAAAAGCAAGGTGGGTACTGATTTTGGTTTCTTTCTTTCCTTTTCCCTTTTGACTTCTAAGTTCTTTCACTATCAATACATATTTCACTTTCTTTTTTTTTTTTTTTGAGCAATGCTTTGCTTACTAAATTATTTATCAAATTTTGTATCTTAAACAACAGTTTTATCTTCTTTTTTTTCCCTCTTAATTAGGAGATATATCATAATACTAGTTATATTCCATGTCAGAAGGCGCAAAAAAACATAAAATTTGAGTAGTCAAAAAATCGATTCTACTATATTAAATAACAATTTTTTTATTTAAAATTAATTTTTACCCATTATTTACTTAAAAAGATCAACAAAATTTTATTAAAATTTGTAATTCGACAATTTTTTTTCAATATATGTATACTATCCTATGTAAATAATATTTGAAATAAAAATTATATTAAATTATAAATTAATTAAATATTAAATAATTGAGCAGGTGATAAGATGGATGATGTGCTAGAATGGGGGAGAAAAAATATGTACGATATAAAATTTAACTTTTCATGTGATTTATTATATAAACTAATGATCCCCGTAATTGAAATCACTGTATATTAAATTATGATATTATGCATGTATTGGAGTGTGTGGAGCTATGTGTTACAAAGCGCTTGTGTTGGGTTTGTGAAATTTGGTAGGAGAAATGTGTAATGAGTATGTAAATTTTGGAAGAAAAATATACCCATAAATTCAAAGTGTCTTATCTCAAGTTGGGCATTTTCTTGTACGTTGTCATTTGTCAATCTGCCACCCACTATCAATGGCATTCCGTGGCAGGCACATGAAGGAGGTGAGGTGTGGTCTATTGGATTTATTCTTCAAAAAGAAGGGCTTGCATTGTAAAATACCCACTTCAAAGAATTCGATTTAGTTTCTGGGGTTGTAACTATTTGCATCCAGTTGCTAAGATATTCATACTCCTTTGTGGTGGTGAAAGCAGAGATTAGATAATTGTCATTCTTATGTTTATTTCACTCAAATTTTAATAATGGAAATAATCTCTCCGCTTGCACGAGTAAAACTGCATATATATAATCCTCCCTAGACCTCGCAATGACGGAAGCTTCGTACACTGGTATGCCTTTTAGATAAGACCAATTATAGAACAATGTATAGCATGTGGGGATGTCATATTTGCAACTATTTTATCAACTGATTGTTTTTGGTTCTCTATTTGTAATTTATACGATCTTTTATATTTTTGTGGGGATGTTACTATCTCAAAAAGCTCAACAAGAACTGCTGGATGATCACTTACATCAATCACTCGCTATTATTGAAGAATACATGGTTTTGTCAAAATTTTAAATTCACATAGAGGTTCTAGAACAGTCTCTTTACCTGTTGTTTCCGTAGTTCTTGGTCCATGAATATGTGTTATTAGGGGTTCCATGTTATTGTCCCGTTAGGCCTTCACTAGTCAATATGAATGCGACAAGGAAAACATCCAGGTTCTTGCTAATTGCTATTCTTAAGTCTCCTGCTATTGGTTTCACAGTACATATATCCAAGAGCTTCTCAAATGCGTCCAATGTTTGAGAAGGGTCTCTACTTTTGACGCGTCCAACCTCCTTTTAGCTCCAATATTGAATACTTTAACTGGACTAAGTGTAAAATTTTATTTCGGATTCACAGTGTAATTTATCGTAGTGCTTTCCCATTCATTTTCCCTATGCAGCATTCTAAATTATATGTTTAAGAAGGATGGTAGTTCTTGTGCAAACATGGAACTTGGACTCCCTCTCCTAAAGAGAGGGTTGGTTGGTATGTGCAGCCTTTATAGCTTGGTCATTTACAAGGCAAGGTCCATGAAATTTTCTGCAATTTTTCTCTCTCGACTTCATATTAATGGGATCTTGCAATATTGAAATCTACCTCTGAAATTTTGGTGCTTCAAATTCCATTTTCAAAAGACACAGACTTTGTATGTTATTTAAATTAGATTCTTACTTAATTATTCATCTTTTGTCCTTTTTCTTTTTTATTGACAGATCAAATTGTCAGATCATAAACTTCTTGTTGCACTTTGGGTCTCCCTTCAACATAAAATAACTTAGATGGGTTGAGTGGGAGTCAGGATATGTCTATGTTCTTCAACATTTCATCTTAGTGACAATTAGAATTTATCATGCCTTGTAAGCATATCTCATATTTCAAGGACACTTAGGCACTCATGTAAGCAAGTAGGTCTTGTTTGTATCTGTTGATTGTGGTGTGTCAAATATTATAAAATCACTTATTAAAATTTCTGATTTAAACCATGTAAATTATAACAAAACAGTTATAGTAAAAAGTTATACAAAAACGAAAGAGTTAAAGCAGGGTAATGAAACAGTAACAGTATACAGGTACACGTAACTGTTTGTTTAAACAATAAAAATACTAATCCGATTGTAGAACAGAAACTGTTACTGAACTTTAGGTAAATCAAGGCTAGTGTTTGACACTATGTTCTTAAGACAAATTTTGCCCCCCACACGCGGTGCTTATGGAAACCGAGCGACTGCCTCCTAGGATATAATGATTTTTACACGAACAGAAGTAGCACTCTAATCTGCTCGTCCAACGAACCAAAATTATGTTGTGTACTCTCTAAATACACTGTCTTAATGCCGAAAATGATATGTTATAATGTCTACCTTATTGTTGAAAACGGACTGAATGAATATATATAATTAATGAAAATGAGTCTGGATATTTATAGACACATTAGTGACTTTTCGGACAGTCACCTTAGTAAAGGACACAACCCAGAATGACAAGACACAACAGCCAGTAGACACCTTGAGTAACTGTTCTTCATGAACAGTCACAACTCAGAATTTCGAGCTGGTGGGAAGTAGAAATCTGAACCAATGCAATCCAACGGGTACCAAAAATTTATTTCGGGTTAAAAAATTTTTGCTCAATTAATTAAATAAATTTTCTCCAAAAAGATAGAATTTGGTCGCACCTAAGTTCGGCCGAGTCATGGCGAGGCGGGTAGGTGCACGTGTGTGGTTGAACCGAAGGCATGTAGGTAGTCGCTCCGCTCATACAACTGTGGTACCCCTTAGGGCCCAATCCTATAAAGCAAACTTGGCCTATATATGCCCATGTTGAATTTTTTCATCAACCAATGTGGGATTGATGTCACATCCCACATTGCACTTTTTTTATTTTCACATTTCAAGAGGGTTGGAGTCTATTTTCTCATTTATTTCTTACACGATTTGAGCAAGTGAATATACTATATTATTCTTCTCACTGAGTAGAATATGAACCCACGAAATTTTATTTAAAATAACAATCGGATCCCACTTTTATTTAGATTCAAAGTCGATCAAAATTCAATTTTTATACTTAAAAAAACTGTTTTGATCCAAGAGTATTCACTTTCAACGCTTGGTGCTTGGTACGTAATTAATTGATCTGAAATCAAATTATGCTTCGAGGTTGATTTTCATCTAGTTTGGTATGATTTGTTAATTATTTATCAGACTATGTGAGCAGCTTCTTTGGACCAATGAGGCTCTTGTGAAGGAGAATTTGTCACTAGAGGAGGAATTGTCCCATGGCTTTTGGAATTTGGACAATTGGTTTGAGAGCAGCTGCATTGGGAGATATTTCTGACCAAATTTTATCTAGTATTCTTGGCAAATTTTGCAGAGGTAAATAGTTTTGAGTGACAAACTCCTCAACAAATCTCGTAACCTACAAAATATTCGGTTGTCTTACACTAAGCAATACGACCTGTTTAGTAGAATACAGGTTTTAAGGATCATTGTCCATTTAATTGATTCTTAGCTCCACAATCATCTGATTTACTAAAATTTAAGATTTAAAAAATTATCCAGTCGTCCATTTTTCGTTTAGTTGCTATGCAAGGTGCAGGCAAATTGTTTGTGTAAGCAGCTTTATGTTTTAATCTAATAGTGTGTAGTGACTTTCGATCAAAAATACTGCAGTTCATTTCAGATGTGATCAAACAATCCAAATTCTTGTTTTTGTGACAGAGCAATTGAAGCAAGGACGGAAATAACCGATAAATAATGAAGAGATAAGAATGAAATAATTGAAAAGAATAAGAATGTGGAACTTGTAGCTCTTTCAAGTATGCCTGAGTTGAGCCCTCATTCGGCTGCCCCAGCTTCCCTCCTTTTGCGACCGCCTACGCAGTTCGAAAAGCTGGCTTTCCCACCTTTCTCTTGAAAGTTCATCGTTGCCCCGCTTATCTCTTGACCCTAGTTCCCAGCTATACTCCTCTTGCAAGGTTTGATCTAGCAGTGTTTTGTAAGCCTTGTTTACGTGCATAAACATCTGTGTGCATTCTGCTCTCCTATCAGGATCACACACATCGGGATGCCAACGAAGAGCCATGTTCCGGTATGCTTTCTTTATCTCATCTACACCTGAATTGTTGAAATCAAGAGAGAGCACTTCATAGGATTCGATAATCCCTCTTTTTTCTCCAGATTTTCTGCATGCTTTACAGGAAATGATGCTGAACTTGTTAGTCCTCAGCAGCAAGTTCTTAGCGAGAGGACAAGCCAAGAAAAGCTTAGCACTGTTTAGACTCGAGCTTAGAGGAATATCCATTGACTGATCCGGCTTCAATTTAGGCAGTTGGTTCGTTGGTCGTGTGATTTTCTGTGTACGTATTATATATATATAGAAGCTGGAAGAATCGAGGAAATTTAAGGAATAAACAGAAGCTGAATTTTGACCATAGTTTTGGCTTGATTTCGACGAAGATGAATCCAAAGCTCAAAACAAGATTTCTCATTCATGTCTAGGAGAGAAGTCTTGGAATTTAGTGTCCGGACGGCCAATGGTTGTAGAAGAGGAAATGTTTGTCCTGAACGTGTACGTGTGGACCATTGAAACAAAAAATTGTGATGTCCGTAGTTGAGCTGTTATGGGTGTCTGATACAAGAGCCCCTCTAGCTACTGTATTGATCAGATGACCAATAAACAATTTTAGAAGCCGGTGTGGATTGATTGAAAGTGAATTGGATCGAAGGCATTCATGGGTTGATTGAAATTTTACTTTTCTTTTTTTGTCGAGCAAGGTCTCTCTTTGGCTAAAAAATCCCTTGAGCTGTGAAATCCCTTTTGTCTTGATTTAGGGAAATAGGCGCATTGATTTGGTTATGTGGTTCGAGCAATCTGCATGATGTTTTTTATAAGTGTAGTTATAAGACTATTTATTGATATGTGTCGTCTCTTTTTGTCCATTCTGTCCGTAGATTATAGAAAATCTAAGAAAATATTAGGACAAAACTTTGAATCACACCCACACACTCACCTATGAAAATCCTTTATCGAAGAAACTTGACTTGTCGAATCAAAACAAGATTTGTTTCTCAAGTGCTCCCATAGATTAACTTCCTAGCTAGCCTTGTGCAATCAAGAAAATCCCAATCTAGAGAAAACCGGCACCTTTGGAATAATCACCTAAAAGATAATTGTAATTGCCCTACCTAAAGTTGCTTCCAGGAAATTACGTCCAACTGGTTGCAGGAAAATGCCACTAATTAAAAGAATGAACCACTTTAAAAAAAAAAAAAAAAAAAACCATCTTCTAGCCGCCTATGATCTTTAATTTTTAATTTTATTTTTATTTTTTACCTTAAAAGCTATTTGTTTTTGTTCATGTCTCTGTAAATGAGGCCCCCTGTTCAAATTTAAAAATTAGTTTGATATTGGTCATACAAAAGAATATGTAAATGCAGAAGAAAGCTAAGCCCTCGACTACCCTTCAAGGTGATTGACATGATGTATATGCAAAGTTGGTCTCTGACCATACTTAGGATTACATTTAGCCGACATGTCCATCAGCTCATGGCAAGGGTTGGCAATAGGCCAGACCGAGCTGGGCCGGACGGATTTATAGAACCAAGCCCGTTGCAACGGGTCAGCATGTTGAGCTAGCCGACCCTAAGAATACATCCCAAGCCCTACAGGTTGGGCTAACGGGCCTAACCCTTGACTAGCTGGGAGGCAGGCATTGGTCGGCCCCAAGACTTTTGCTAACCCTAGGTTCTTGGTAACATATCTTCCCATCCAAACTTAAATTTGTCCAATCAAACTTTAAATTTTAATTTTTTTTTTGATTGGCCCTAAGATAGATTTCAGATTAACTCATTTCTCAAGGAAGCTTTTTAAGTTCGATCAATCTTTATTTCTTAGTCGAATGTCACATTGACAAATGCCATAGATGTTTTCCTTGTCAAATTGATCTTTCATCAAAGTACAAGTTATTTGGTTCATCTTCTTGGAAGATGCGTGAGTTTACCAAGTTAAGCAGGGATGCACTTTCATTCTTCCTCGTGCATTTGTCTCTTGTACGCAGCCGGCAACTTGATCCTTATCAACTTTTCCATGTAACTTAACATTATTGTCCACTTGTACCCATATTTGTTCTTCTTAGTCTAAGATCGGCACGTTGAGAATTTAGTATAATAACAATGTTATGTTCACTAAAATTTTTACCAATTTGGATATCAAATCAATGTGAATCTGGTTTCCACAAACTTTAACTATAACAGTACAAAAGTTGCAAATATAACATTACAAAAGCCAGCCAACATTAACAATAGGACGGCAGGTAATATAATAAGAAGCATTGGACGTTGAAGCCGGCAATGAAACACTAAACAACAAACTATACATTTATTATCCTTGAGAAAAAAAAAATATTTCTAGAGCAAAATGTGCTTCAACATCAGAAAAGATCTCTCGGGGGAAGAATTGAAGAAGAAAAAGAAGAAGGAGAAGGAAAAGGAGAAAGAAAGAGAGAAGGAGAGGAAAGCAAAAGAGAAGGAGAAAAGGAAAAGAGAAGAAATTGAGAGAAATGAAAGGAAAGAGAAGAAAAGGAGAGAAGAGAAGGAGAAACAAGCAAGGAAGGAGATGAGAAGGAAAGAAGAGAAAGAGAAGAAGAAGCGCAAAGAGCAAAAACAGAAAGAAAGGGAGAAGAAAGAAAAAGAGAAGCGCAAGGCCAAGAAGAAGAAATAACTGACAATAAATGAAGTGTAATGCTCTCCCATTTCATTGCTCTTTGCATTGCAATAAAAGCATATTTCTTTGTCCATCCTATTGGGACTAAAAATCTAACATGTGTCAAGTGATGAAGTCCATATGAAAAAATTCAGTACTGTTATATCATTAAGTTAGATTTTTAGATCACGATAGCATTACTTTTCACAATAACTAGCTGTTTATGTTTACTATGCACTCCATGTTTTGTTATAGCATCAGGAATGTGAGATTATATGAAATGAATTTTATTTATTTATTTTGTCACTGTGAAGGGTGTTCTTGTTTTCGTGTGACACTAAGAAGATTGTTGTTATATGCTACATTAATCAAAATTTTCTGTAATTTAAGTAGAGCAATCACAAAAACTGAAACAGGGAAAATAAACTACACAAGACATTATTCTCTAAATCATGAAATATAACAACTCAGCGTTCCAATAAAACAATGAAAATGACAAATTCCTAGTTAAAAAAAAAATAACAAAACAAGTCCAATGAGCAATGCCCCCTACCTAGGAGAAAAATAAGTCCCTAGAAAGCCTAATGTGGAGACCATAAAACTGACTTCTTAGGATAACAAAACAAAGCAAAATGGCATATCATCTCAAATCTCTCATGCTAAAACAAAGATGCAAGTAGCAAATGCCACACTGATAAGGACTGCCAAGGAAGCAAAGGTGGTATAAGCTCCGGAGTTTGCAGGGGATTGTGCAGGAGCCGCCCCTCCTCTAGGGAGAATAGATGGTGCTGGAGTTGAAGGATTGACAGTTGGAGACGGCACTGGAGGATTCGTAGACTTTGGAGGTGGAGCACTGGCGGTTGGAGGCAGAGCTGGAGACTCTGGAGGTGGAGCATTCACTGTTGGAGGATTAGCTGCAGGAAATATTTAAAATATTAGGTATTTAGGTGACATTGTAGACGTAACTTTTCTTTTTTGAATTTGAAAACTCCCAACATTTCCTACAATTTGACTACCTGTAAGTTTAATGTCAAGATTCAAGAGTGAAAAAAGATTTTCTGCAGTATGATTCACATAAAACAACATTTTATGTTTGGCTGGCTAAACTTTTGCTGGTGACTATATCTTATTTTGTTTCATTTTTACCCCAACAAAATACATTGATTGTGAAGGGACGAAAAACCATGATTCCAACGGGTATTGATGGAGTCTAGCCATGCAACCCCAGACTTCCACGCCCTTATTTCTCATCATAGTAAGGTTTGATTTCGAAGAGTTATTTTTTTGGTATTATACCAAAATTTGTCAAAAATATGCATTAGGTAGGTTACACCTCAATCTACAAAAAATGAGATTGTTGAATACAATCTTAACTTCTTGATCCAAAATGGGTTATATTAACCCCCATTTATCAATAAATTTTTGTACGGTACTAAATTTGGTACCATAATCTCACCCGTCAAATTAACATACAAAAGTTACAATAAAAAAAATGAGAAATTGTGATTAATGAGATGTTAACACATACCAGGAGCAGCACCAGGAGCACTGGAGACTGCATGTGAAACAGTGAGTTCATTAGACAAAATTCTATAATCATCAATCAAATTTGAAATGTTTAATTATCAATAATAATATATTCTTTTGTATATTTGACACTCACTATTACAGCTACTAAGGGGAGGAGCCGAGACTCCACAATCAGAAGGCAAAGCCGCGGCCTTTGTCATGTTCACAGAGACACCCAAATCAGCACTACTCTTCAAGGCTTCACAAATACACTCAGAATCAGTGTCTAAAACCACCTTAAACCCATCACAGCACGAGGCCTCGGGTACTGTTTCATTGCCACCATTGCTCAGAAAAGACAAACAGTCCACCATTTCGAATATGAGAGTATCACAGCCCGCAGATGGTGCCGGCGCTAGTACTGGTGGTTGTGACGACGGTGAATTAGGATAGTGTTTTGCGCCGTTCACCGCCACCACCGCCCATGTAGCTACTATAATGCAGGTAACAAGCCTAAAGTTCATCATCTTTGGAGAAGAAAAAACGCAAAAGTGGAGGTGGGTTAGCTAGTAAAATGTGTATGTTTTGAGTTTGGGAGATGAAAAACTGTTTCAGTTTAGATATCCTGAAATGTCTCTGCTGAGATCTAACAGACCGTTTGAATGGGGGAATGCTGTTGATTTATAGACTATCCATCACTGTGGTGATATGTATTATCTACGCTCATCTTGAAAGTTTGAAAAGTTAAATGTTATGGCAAGGACTCTCTCAAGGGGATAGGTTTAGTTAGGATCGTTTCTAATTTCAAATAATTGAAGAACCCTCCATTTTTTTCTTGAAAGAGAAGGATCTATCCACGCCAACAGTTTAATATATTTTGAAAATTTCAAATTAGGAGTATTTTTTTGAATAAAGATAAGGTATCTTAATATAGATAAATTTTCATCATTCAAAAAGAATTAAAGAATCATCTATATTTATTTTAAAAATGGACTATCCAAGCACTCATGTCATTGTATTACAGCAAGGCTGTTAGAGAGAGATAGAAGCCAAGAGGGAGAATAAATATCTGGTGTAACGGTTACATCATGTTAACATTAATGAACTTCATTTGTTACTATTTGAGTGTAGTAAAAGACCTTCTAATTAATTCGATGTGTATGATATTGATATGAGTGATTACACATATTTTTCATTTATCAGATAAAAGTAAAGTGTAAATAAATTTTTATAAAACCTTTTTTCTAAAAAGAAAAATGAAAAATGTTGTTTGTCCTTCCTTGACTAATTGGGACCTTCAAGTTCCAATTGAAACTTAAAAAATAAAACACAAATAACTTGCTCTAAATAATAATGTTATTCAAATTTAATTTATTAAATTAAACGAATTTATTGATCTAATCTATTATAACAGTTGAATTAACGATAAAACTCATTCAATGTCGAAACTTGCTAATATTCTAATGATTACACTAAATTAGATAAATAAATTAAGACAGAAGAAGGTTGTTTCTCTCTCCTTTGTTGGTGTGAGTTACCCCTCGCTAAAATGTCCTACTTCTTTTCGGCCCACCTGTGGACACAACTCAATCGCTAGAAGCCTCGGCTCAACCTAAAAGGAGTGAAACGGGCTATTGTAATGCTGGTCCAGATTTAAAAAAAATACCCACATAATTTTGGTCAGCCCACAAAGTTAGTGGTCAATTAATTTCAAGAGTCTTTAACTGCCCAGCTTGTGGTAGGCCGACTGTTTTGGATTTGAAAGCATTTTCAGAAGAGGAAGGGTATTAGAACCTAAAAATTGAGCTAACTTATTGACATGATGATATTTCAATTAAGTGATAAAGTCTCAATAAAAAGTACAACAATTGTAGTCAAAACAATAGGGTTTAGGTTAATTTTTTCGATCCCAATAACATTACTCTTTGAAAAATAGGGATAATTTCAACTTGCACCCTGAAAGGTCATTCAAATCTCAATTTACACACTGAAAGACATAAATTTGTATCAATGTGCACCGGAAGTTAACAATCATCCATTTTACCGTTAAAAAAGTTTGGAATAATTATAAATTGCACCTTCAAAGTTTAAATATTTCACATTTAAGATTAAAAAATAATTCTATCTATTAATACTCGTTAAATACATATCAATTGTGTCATATCATGTTATTTTGTATCATTTTTTTGTTGTGTTTGAGTCAATAAATTTTTTTTTTTAACATAAAATATTTTTGTGTCAATTCAATTGTGTTGTGTCGTATATTTTACATTTATGACAATTTATATAATAATATTTAATATTTTTTATTAATTATAAAAATACTCATTTTTTTCCTACAATACTCATTAAATAGTTATTTCCTATCTACAATTGTATTATTAATATCTAACTTTAATTTGATCGAACAATCAAAAGATTCACGTCTAACTGTAGATAGAAAATAACTATTTAACAAGTATTGTGAGAAAAAAAATAGGTGTTTTATAAATTTTATAAATTTTTTTTATTGACTTGAACATGACATGAAAATATTATGACATGATACAATTAATAGCTATTTAATGAGCATTAATGAAAAAAAAAATTTGGATCATAAATATGAAATATTTAAATTTTACAGGTGCAATTTATCATTAGTTCAAACTTTTTTAAAATCAAAATGGATGGCAGTTAATCTCAAGAGCACATAAGAATTTATGTCATTTAGGGTATAAAGTAATATTTTTAAATTTTAAGAGTATAAATTAAAATTCAATTGATTTTTCATAGTAGGAGTTGAGATTAACCTTGAAAAATATAAGCCAGCTCATTGCCAATTAGTCAAATTGAATAGTACAAAGGTATGCTCCCATCTTCATTGTGCATTCAGATCTCCTCTAATATATATATTTTTTCTATTCTCTTTTTTTATGGATAATTCAATATTAATGAGTGAAGGATCTACTTGTGTACAAATAATCTCACTTGAAAGCATGATAAATCATCCACTAAAAGAAAAAAAAATTGATACACATGATGCAACTTAACTCTAGTCTAGGGATTGTCGTAGTCTGGGTTGGTTCAGCTTTGGACAGGCGCCGCAGGCCAATACTAGGTAATAACACACTTTATTTACGTCCAAACTAGGGTTTGAGTTTGGCTTGATAAACACAATTCATAAATTTAATACAAAATTAATAAAATTAAGTTTAATCTTTTAACGGATTTGAATAGTAAACTAATTAGCTCGTTAAATAAATGAATCGATAAAGATTAACAACTAATCTTACCCTTATTGAATTCAACATTTATTGCAGATCTAGCTCATCTATTCTCATTTCTTATCTTTTGTATCAAATTCAAATCATTTCATTGGTCATATAACACCAACCGTTGTAACATATGTTCAATGTGAAAAATATATACAAAGCAGAGTTTCTCATATTATCAAACTATTAATCTTATCTTTTTTATAAACACAATATAAATTCATTAAACATAACTTATACACAACTTAAACTCGATACTACATGAATTCGGCTATATGCAATTATAACCAGATTGGCAATATATTGAACAGATTTAGACAAGACATGATACATTAGGAGGCGTCTTTACTGTTTTATCCAACAAGCCAGACATGGATATTAGTATGATACCCTAAAGACTATGCTCTAACATCATTTTATAGGGCAAAGAATTCTTTGGACGTCAGAAACACAGCTTCAAATACTTTGTTCCTTGGGGGTCTACCTCTTGGCTGGCAGCCTAAGTTTCTGTTTTCCTTTGTCATATTTGATTTCTCTTATGGCTATAAGCCAAACCGTATAGTGGGCCTAAAGATCCTTTAAGGTGCCCTGGTTCTTGGTTTTTAGGGTAAGAACCTGTGCCCTTGTTGTGTCTCATCAAACAGTGAAACAGAAGTACATTTGTCTCGGCTTGGGGCTAACTGATGTCTTGGTAGGAGAGTGGTTCAAAGTAATTTGAGGCTTAAAATAGTATCTATAAATAAAGTTTTTTATATTTAGTATAAATTTATTTTTCTTACTTTTGAAATGAAAAAATATTAATTAAGTTTTATATTCAAGTTTTGTTAACATATTTTTTATCAATTAATAGTATCACTAATCCAATTAATTTTTTTTGTGACATATCTGGTCTTTTTTGTTGGTTGTTGGCCAACTTGGCTTCTTAAGAGAGATAGAGAGAGAGAGAGAGATTTGTAAGTAATGAATTGATTTGATAATTTTTTTCTATCATTAATTTTTTAATTTTTAATTTTTTGGGTTTTTAATGTTTGGGTTGGATTATGGGTCTATTACATTTTGTCAAATATATTTTCATATAATTTCATTTAAAACAGTCCATCTCCATTTTAAATTTGTTACTATATGCACAAAACTAATAAACACAATTTTTGTTACAGTGTATTATTACACTGTCTTTATTACAATGTATTGTTACACTGTCTTTATTACACTATTATGAAATTCAAATATTAACAAATTTTGAAATTCAAACAACTAATATATCTTAAAATAAACGAAATATTAAAGTTCTCCTATAAAACTAATAGTAGTAAGTATTTAATATATAAATATAATTTGAAAATAATATTACTTTCCAAAAAAATGCGCATGAATCTACATGTATTAAAGATAAAAGATTTTGAATTAAATAATCCTAAATTTCAGCGTTTAAAATAAATGCTTTGTTACAGTTTTTAGGAAAAAAAATTTTATAAAATAAGCATTTACGTCTTTGTATTTCAGTTGTGTACTTTTTTTTTACAATTATGTCTAATTTGATGTATTGACTTCCAAAAAACCCTTAAATTATTTTTGATTGAGTATGCACTTTTATGATGCATTTTTGTCTAAGTTTAAAATATTTATGAATTTAATTTTTTCAAATAGATTATTTAAGGTATCTACAATTTGGAGCCTTCCATAAAATTGGGGCCTAAAGCCCAAATTTTTTTATTTTTACTGTTGATCCGCCCCTGGTTGGTAGTGGCCCCCCATCAATCATAAACAACATAGACTTCTATGGGCCCCAATATTTTTGTTTTGAGAATTAGTCACTAATTCAATAATTCTGCAACCACTTTGTCCTTGCTCAAATTGTTCATTTGCAAGCAACTTTTCAAGTATTGATCAACGATTTGAGGTGTTTGAGTTAATTTATACATATTTTGACTATTTTTTTCTTCAATTCAATTAAAAATAAATCATTTACGTCGAGAGTGGAATATTCATGAAAAATAATTTTTTCGTAGTCTGTAGTCTGATCTTAAAGGGTTATCAAAATTCAAATTCAAAATATTAGATTTTACAACTCACAATAGGGTTCAAGTATTGTTTTCTTACTTCTAATGAAGATGACGTGGTCCCAAGAATAGAGGGCTCCAAAAGAAAGGCGTCGCTATTGGTGCCTCAACACTTCTGGAGGTGATTCTTTATTGTGGGTTGGGTTAAGTTGTGACGTTGACAATGATATTTTTCGCCCTTGGTTTTCAAAAATAGTAAGTAGAACACAATAGGTT